AGCTAAAGTTAATTTGATTTTATCTATACTAATTGTTAGGTGTGTGATATTAGTACTGCACTAAAGTTCCTAACCTGTCTGTCATTGCCTTTTGAATTTTTGAATTGCATCACATTGAGCATTTCTAGCATCACTATATAAAACAGCTGTTTTTTTAGCAGGATGCATTTGTATTAAACAATGGAAGTTGCCATCTTTCAAAATAGCTTTTGTTTTGGTGATTCCTACTAATTCATATTGCGCAAGGTTTATGGGGATGTACATGACCAACTGAAATTTGCTAATGTTTTATTAAGTTATTTTATTACAAGGCAAATTGAAGGTTGCAAAGCTATACATACTTTGTATTTCATGGTGACTGCTTACCTATTGTGAACTGTAACCAAGTGATCAGTGTCAGACTTTACCCTTTTCAGAATAGATGTGATAAGTTACCTTTTTCTATCGGTTAAGCCTGAAATCGTAGGTTTAAATATTTTTACTTTTAATTTTTAAAAGTTATTATTAACCCATCATGCGCTGGGTAAAATAAATCCCAGGCATGAAACTCTGGTGATTTCTGGCAACATCCATGACACTGGGCGCAGGGTCCGTCACATCAAGCAGAACATCCCGCTCCATGATGCTCTGGCACGTTGCCACCGTACAGGCGTACCCCGCAGACCAAGTGGTTATAACGCCAGTTGACGTGACCCATCCGGATCGGTTTAAGAAGTGCGGCATTCCATTTTTTCACATAATATCCTTTCCACACAGATGAGAATGTTATTGCTGGTATGGATCCCAAGTATGCGCCCCTACTGGATGATCTTGCTGTTTTTACCTGTGCCACCAACTGCCCGTAGCGACCACTGTAGTAGGCATGGGTCCCTGCTCGTAACCAGGCAGGATGCTTAACGCACACTGGCAGATATATCAAGGCGAATAATGAGCTTAAGCCGCAATGAACAGCTGGTGCTGCTGCCATATCATTGTTTTGAGAACCTGAAGATTCTACAGTTCCATGTGGCTACGCTGACGACAATGACTGCCTTGGGGGGGGGGGGGGAAAAAAAAAAATTTTGGCCCCCCCAGAGCCCTGCAGAAGTCTTGGAAAGGCCACTCCAAGCCATCAGGCCGGCTTAAGGGTAAAGGGAAGGCTTCGAGCAGACCTCATGGTAAGCGTGTGGACTTCTCTGCACGACTGTCATCACAGCTGACCCTAATCTGCGTATTTGGATTCCAGGTTTGCGTCCCTCGGTCAATTGCTCATAGAATCTCACCTATCCTTAAATTGTCACGCCATTCAACATGACCAAGTGAGTGATTATAGACTTGTTTTATATGTGATATATTTGATTGTATATTTATAATTCACTCTCATGTGTAATTATTTTAGAATTTGAGAAACTTGTAGTAAGGGAAGTGATCTTTTTCTATCAAATTAATTGTTTCATACAATACATTTTGAAGCATCATTTTTCTACTTAATGACGTATATAATAAACCAAGAATAGTCTTTTAGAATGATGGAACTTGTAAAGAGAGTAAACACCAATATCCCCCGGTGCCAATACTCGTCGTGCAATGGAGCACGTATTGACCTGAGGTATCACCCCCAAGCCCTCTGATCTTCCATCTACAGTTTGGCACAAGGTGAAACATAATCACTGATGGTGCGTGGTATTTTTCAACCGCAGCAACTCTGGCATAAAAATTGTCTATGATGGGCCACAAGAGTAAAGGTTTGGGGGGGTAAACTGTTTATATATTTTAATTCAGCCATATATCAAATTCTATAATGTATAAAGGTAAGGTGAGATTTGATGATGAATGTAAATTTTTTATTTCTAGAGTATATTTTCTAACTTTTGCTCACATACTGATAATTGATCTCTAAATAGGTGCTTCGTGGTCCATTTCCGAGAACTTGTCAGTAACAGTAATCCACCTTACAACGCTGATTTTGACGGGATTTAGATGAATATTCACGTGCCGCAGAGCATGGAAACAGAGCAGAGGTTGAAAACCTTCATGTGAACCCTCGATATCATCACCCCACAGGCCAACAAACCTTTCATGGGTATTGTGGCAGGATAACACCTTACAAGCTGTCAGAAAGATGCTAAACCGATGTTTTCCTGAGAAGGTAATCATTAATATCATCAATATTTTTTGAGATGTAAAATATTTTTATAAGTTTTACTTTCCAGGGCAAAAATTACGATTGGGTGGTAGGAACTACTTAACCCCGTCCGACGGTGACAACCGATAGGCGTAAAACAAACCATTCAGGTGGCGTGGCGGCGAGCAGTGATTTCGGCTGATATACCGACTCGCGCACATCAAAGTCGGCGCGCTTAGAGAGGGAGAGCCTTTGTTTCCTAGAGCGTATTGTTCTTCTTCTCTCCTCCTCCTTCTTATCCTCCGCCTCCTCCTCCTCCTCCTCCTCCTCCTCCTCCTTCTTCTCCTCCTCCTCCTCCTTCTCCCTCCACTCTCCTCCTTCTTCTCCTCCTCCCTCCTCCTTCTTCTCCTCCACCCCTCCTTCTTCTCCTCCACTCCTCCTTCTTCTCCTCACCTCCTCCTTCTTCTCCTCCACCTTCCTCCTTCTTCTCCTCCTTCTTCTTCTTCGTCTCCCTTCTTCTTCTCCTCTCTTTTCTCCTTCTTCTTCTCCTTCTTCTTTTTTCTCCTTCTTCTTCTTCTCCTTCTTCTTCTCCTTCTTCTTCTTCTCCTTCTTCTTCTTCTCCTTCTCCTCCTCCTCCTCCTCCTCCTCCTCCTCCTTCTTCTCCTGCCTCCTCCTCCTCCTCCTCCTCCTCCTCCTGTCCTCCTCCGCCTCCTCCTTATCCTCCTCCTCCTCCTCCTCCCCCTCTTCTCCTCCTCCTCCTCCTCTTCTTCTCCTCCTCCTCCTCCTCCTCCTCCTCCTTCCTCCTCCTCCTCCTTATTCTTCTCCTCCACCTCCTCCCCTTTCTTCTCCTCCTCCTTCTTTCTTCTTCTCCTCCTCCTCCTCCTTCTTCTTCTTCTTCTCTCCTCCTCCTCCTCCGCCTCCTCTCTCCTCTCCTCCTCCTCCTCTCCTCCTCCTCCTCCTAATCAGAGAAGAAACCTCTCCTTCCTCCTCCTCCTCCTTCTCTCCTCCTCCTCCTTCTTCTCCTCCTCCTCCTCCTCCTTCTTCTCCTCGCCTGCTCTCCTTCTTCCCTCCTCTCACCTCCATCTTCTTCTCCTCCCTCCTCCTTCTCCTCCACCTTCCTCCTTCTTCTCCTCCACCTCCTCCTTCTGCTCCTCCACCTCCTCCTTCTTCTCCCCACCTCCTCCTTCTTCCTCCTCCACCTCCTCCTTCTTCTCCTCCACCTCCTCCTTCTCTCCTCCACCTCCTCCTTCTTCTCCTCCCCCCTCCTTCTTCTCCTCACCTCCTCCTTCTCTCCTCCACCATCCTCTTCTTCTCCTCCACCTCCTCTTCTTCTCCTTCCACCTCCTCCTTCTCTCCTCCACCTCCTCCTTCTTCTCCTCCACCTCCTCCTTCTTCTCCTCACCTCCTCCTCTCTCTCCCCTCCTCCTTCTTCTCTCCACCTCCTCCTTCTTCTCCTCCACCTCCTCCTTCTTCTCCTCCACCTCCTCCTTATTCTCCTCCACCTCCTCCTTCTTCTCCTCCACCTCTCCTTCTTCTCCTCCACCTCCTCCTTCTTCTCCTCCGCTCCTCCTTCTTCTCCTCCACCTCCTCCTTCTTCTCCTCCACTCCCTCCTCTCCTTCTTCTCCTCCACCTCCTCCTCCTCCTTATTCTCCTCCTCCTCCTCCTCCTATTTCTCTCCTACTCCTCTCCTTCTTCTCCTCCTCCTCCTCCTCCTTATTCTCCTCCTCCTCCTCTCCTATTCCCTCTCCTCCTCCTACTTATTCTCCTCCTCCTCCGCCTTATTCTCCTCCTCCTCCTCCTCCTTATCGCCTCCACCTCTCCTTATTCTTTCTCCTCACCTCCTCCTTATTCTCCTCCACCTCCTCCTTAATTCTCCTCCACCTCTCTTCTCTCCTCCTCCTCCTTCTCTCCTCCACCTCCTCTTCTTCTCCTCCACCTCCTCCTTCTTCTCCTCACCGCTCCTCCTTCTTCTCTCCACACTCCTCCTCCTCCTTCTTCTCCTCCTCCTCCTCCTCCTTCTTCTCCTCCTCCTCCCTCCTCCTTCTTCTCCTCCTCCTCCTTCTTCTCCTCCTCTCCTCCTTCTCCTCCTCCTCCTTCTTCTCCTCCTCCTCCTCCGTCTTCTCCCCTCCTTCTTCTCCT